AAAAAAAAAAAAAAAAGATTAGATCTAAGCAAGCCCCTGGACCGAACCACCATGGATAGGAAATCCAGGGGTCAGCCCTGCAATCGGCAAAGTCCTGACCACAGGACTTGTAGGGCCAGCAACCAGTGTCCTCTTAGCTGCATTGTGTGGGAAAACAAAAAGAATGAAGTAAACCTGTGAATGGAAAGAGAGTTCATAGATGGGATGTTGTAACATGGGGACTTTATTTGAATCCTGATTTTTATTTTTATTTTTTTCAAGTTATTTACCCCCAATGTGGGTCTTGAACTCACAACCCCCGAGATCAAGAGTCACACGTTCTACCGACTGAGTCAGCCGGGTGCCCCTCGCTCCTAATTAAAAAAAAAAAATGATGATGGATGGGTCTGCTCAGGCTGCCGTAACAAAATACCACAGCCTTCGAGGCTTAAAAAGAACATGAATTTATTTCTCACAATCTGGAGGCTTGAAGTTCCAGATCAAGGCACTGGGGTTCTATTTCAGGTGAGGTCTCTCTTCCAGGTTAGCCTCACATGGCCTCCCCTCAGAGAGTGTGCAGGCTGTGGGGAGAGGTGGGTGTGAAGAGATTGCTCTTCTTAGAAGGCCACCAGTCCTTAAAAGGACCTTACTCATATGACCTCATTTAAGCTTAATTACTTCCTGAAAGCCCTATTTCCCAATATAGACACCTTGGGGGCTAGGGCTTAGTAGATGAATTTTAGGGGAGGACTCAGTCCATAGCAGATGACATTTATGAGGAAATTGGCACCTTGAATGCTGACTCAGTATTTGATTATATTGAGGAATTATTGGTAACTCTCTCTTGGGGTATGGTAATATTGTTTTATGTATATACCTATACATGTATATAACATATGTATGTATGTATGCATAAATAGAAAAATATTACCATATATGGATGTGTGCGTGTGAGTATATATATGTCTCCTTATCTTTTAGATACACACCAAAATATTTATGGGTGCAATCGTCTGACATCTAGGATTTGCTTCAAGATGATAAGGGGGAGTGAATGTGGCTGCAGATGAGTTAGGGCTGGCCATGAGTTGAGGGTTGTTGGGTCTGGGTTATGGTTCATGGGAGTGCATTATATTATTCTGTCTACTTTTGCATGTGTTCTAAATTCTCCATAATAAAAAGTGAAAACAAAAAGTGAAGAGGATTGGGGCGCCTGGGTGGCTCCGTCGGTTGAGCATCCCACTCCTGATTTCGGCTCAGGTGGTGGGATCGAGCCCCCTCCCCCCACCTTGGGCTCCGTGCTCAGTGGGGAGTCTGCTTGGATTCTCTCCCTCTGCCCCTCCCCCCACATGCTCTCTCTCCCTTTCTCTCAAATAAATAAATCTTTAGAAAAATGAATAAATAAATAAATAAAATCTTTAAAAAAAAAAGTGAAGAGGATTAGTGAAGTTTAGGGTTGGGGGGAGGAGCCAGGCATCTGCTTAGAAGAAATTGCTCAGGCGAAGCTCTGAGCTGGTGGGGCAGGTGGGTGTGTAAGGACCCAGGGGTTTACAGGTGCTGGGGCATGAAGCTGTGTCAGGCACGTCGGGTATCAAGATGACTAAGGCTCAGTCCCTACGCTCCACGACAAAGACGAGTCTCAATGGGGGGGCCTGCTTCAGGACCAGTGAGACTAGAACCCAGTGGGAGAGCCCTAAAGGCCAGTAAGGCTGGAATCAGGGGAATACAGGCCATGGGCATTTGTTGTGGAAGGGCTGGGAGACCGGGTGATAGAGGAAGCTTCCAGCAGAGACAACCCAGCATGCTAAGAGCTGGGAAGTCTGAGGATGTTGCAGCAAGAACGTGGTCATTCCGGTTCTCAACCAAATCTCTGCTGGAATTGTAGGCTGCTCACCTTTGCTTTGGAAATCTGACTTCTTTTGTGTCCTTACTGGGTGATTTTGGTCAAGTTACTTGATCTCTCTGATCCTCAGTTTTTTCTTCTGTAAGATGGGGGCAGTAATAGGGCCTGCCTCGTAAGGCTCTTGTGGGATTAAATGAGAAAATGCTTCTCAAGCACTAAAAAGAGTATGCGTTAGCTGTTAACTATCAGAGTTTCAGGGAGGAAGCTGCTCTCCCCTGGGGCAAGGAGGTGGAGACGGGTCAGCCATTAAAATGAGAGCCCCAGTGGGGAGGCGAGAACAGCTCTGTACTCCTCCCTGCTAGCCCTTAACAGGTTTGTGATCTATTTTTAATTAAAAAAAAAAAGTGGTTTTCTCACAGCAGTGAGCAGCTGGTCAGATGCAGAAAAGAAGTTGCTGAGAAAGCCTCAAGTAAAATCCACGGGGCCTTATGCGAAAGCATGGTTGGCCAAGATCAGCCATGGGCTGGCTCCAGAAACTACCTCTGGGCCCCGTTGCCCACTTAGGGTGGCATTTGGAATGAGGTGTGCAGGAGTGAAAGGTCAGACCCTGTGAGGGAGGGGTGGGGCCCGAGTGGGCTCCTCCCTCTGTGAGGAAGTACGGTCTTTCCCCTTCAGGGCTGTGGCTCTGGGACCACTTCCTCCTTCCTTCCTCTGAAGCCGGGAGCAGGCTTACTGAGCCCTCTGGAAAGACCAGAGCACATTCCAGGATGCCTTAGCCCCTCCGTGACCCCAGGTGGGGGTGGCTGAGGGTGCTGATTGGAGGCCTCCGTCCCTGCTTCAGGGGTGGCTGGGGACCACTGTGGAGGCCTGCAGAATGGAGGGAGAAAGTAAGAAGCTGGCATCTGTGTCCAATCTGGTGACTGTGTTTGAGAACAGCAGGTATGGGGTGGTGGGGGTGGCAAGGGTTGCCAGGGCCAACTGGTGGCCTCCCGTAGCTCCTCTGTCTGGCCAGGGCCCCCCTCTGCCCACCGCCAGGCCCTGGAGCACAGACCCTCCCAGTCTCCAGGCTGAGGATCAGTGCCCCGGCTGCCTTGGGCCCTCACAGTGAGCAGTTCTCTCTCTGGGCCCGTCCTGGATACCTCCTCCTGTCTGGGCAGGGCCTGGGTTCCTTGCCGCATAGAGGAGTGTGGTCAGGCCCCAGGAGCTGGGCAGCGGGGAAGGTGTGCGCACGGATATGTTGGGGAGCGTCCAAATGTGTGTAGTTATGAGTGAGCGTGGGTGGGCCCAACACAGCGTTTGGGCTGCAGGACTCCACCCATTGCCTCTCCCTCAGAAATAATAGTAATAACTTACCGAGCATGCACTCTTTATAAGTAGGACAGCCATATAATTTATCATTCAAATCAGGGCACAGTTAAAACTGGAAGTGGATGCCATTAAATTTTTTTGGCAGAGGGGAGAGGGCAAGAGGAAAAGCTGAGACTATTAGGCAAACCCGGATGTATCAGCAGCCTACCTTTGGGGTACTGTTCTAAGTGACTTGTGTGACTTTTTTTCATTTAATTATCTACCAGCCTCCTGGGGCGCCTGGGTGGCTCAGTTGTTAAGCGTCTGCCTTCAGCTCAGGTCATGGTCCCAGGGTCCTGGGATCGAGCCCTGCATCAGGCTCCCGGCTCTGGGGGGGGGGGGGTCTGCCTCTCCCTCTCCCACTCCCCCTGCTTTTGTTCCCTCTCTCGCTGTGTCTCTCTCTGTCAAATAAATAAAATCTTTTAAAAAAAATTATCTAACAGCCTCCTGAGGGTAGGTCTATGTCTATTCCCATCTCTTGATGAGACAGTGGGTGTACAGAGAGGCAGGGAGGCTTAGAAGGCTTTAGGTTCGTGGGTAGGGGCTTCCATCTGAAGGGAAAAAAACTGGGCCAGATGTATGGCGGTCATTGGTGGCCCTGGCAGGGGTGGTGTGTGTATGTGTGTGTGTGTGTTTATCTATTTGTCTGTCTGTCTGTGTCTGTGTGACATTAATCTACTCTTCTTTTTCTTTTTTTGAAGATTTTATTTATTTGTCAGAGAAAGGGAGAGAGAGAGAGCACAAGCAGGGGGAGCTGCAGGCAGAGGGAGAAGCAGGCTCCCCACTGAGCAGAGAGCCCGATGTGGGACTCGTCCCAGGATCCTGGGATCATGACCTGAGCTGAAGGAAGACACTTAACTGACTGAGCCACTCAGGCGTCCCTCTGCAGGCATTTCTTAAACCCAGGACTATGTTAGGGACTGTTTGGAAAGACTCTAAGGTAGAAATTTGCTTCAGTAGATTTACTGGGGATAGTTTTGGGAATGACACCTGTCAGGTGCGAGATGCAGCACTGGGAGAAGTTGAACTGTGCGTACTTGCAACAGAGGCCCCATCCTGTCCCAAGGAGCTCTGAAGCTGAGATGTCCCTCAGGTTGTTCTAACTGAGGCAAAAGCAAGTCCACATGGACTAGTCATTGGATATGGACTTGACCTGGGTTGAGGCAGCTGTCTTCTAGGGAGGGCAATTCCCAGAGAGCGGCCTAGTCCACAGCTGTCAGCCACCATACCGCCAGCAGCTGGGGGAAGGGAGCCTCAGTCCTGGACGGGGTGGGTGGGTGGCACAGCACAGCATCACCCAGGAATCGTGGCGGACACAGGAGCTGTAAGAATGATCCCTGCCGGGAGGATTTCTGTCTTTGGACGTGAAGCTCATGGAATTACTGTGATGCCAGGTCACAGACCATAGATATCCGAGAGGAGTCTAGATCCTGTGCTGAGGGCCCTCAGAGCAGACAAAGACTTCTGTGGGCTTCACGGCAGATGTGGCATAGATGTGGGCCTAGAAGGGCAGCTCAGCTTCTTGAGCTGCTGACCTTACCCCACCTCTCCCAGGGTTCTTTGCCAAGCACGGTCTAGTTCAGCACCGAGGACAGCTCTAGGCACCGCCCTCCTGGCCCACCACCCGCCCCTTGGGGTGTGGGGAGAGAGCACCACCCAGGCACGCCCGGTGGAGACCCTCGGCATGTGTGCTGTGCCCAGGCAACACTGGGCAGGAGGAGGCAGCCCGCAGACCAGAATGGGGTCAGAGGAGGCCTTGTCCGCAGGGTGAGAGCCACCCCTTACCATGTGAGGGGCCCCGGGCCAGCAGCCTTGGTTTTGGCTTTCTTGTGAGGTCTCCTAGCACCTTAGCTGATCTGAAACTGAGGGGTGAAAAGGAAACAGAAGCTGGCCTGGGGCACTTGGAGGGAAATGCAGAAGCTGAAACCAAATGTAGAACAGAAAGCCTGAGGCCCAGCTATTTCCGCGGGCTGAGGAACCGGGCACCGGGGTGCCAGGCAGGGGTGGAAGAGCCCATGAGGAGCCACTGGGGACTGGCTTCCAATCCTCTCTCTACCGCCAACCAGTTGTGTGACTTGGGGCGGATATGTTGACCTTCTGGACCTGTTTCTCCTTGACTCAAATGGGGAGGGGCAGTTTAGGGCGAAGGCTCAGGAGCCAGCATGCCTGATCTGAATCCCATCTTTGCCACCCCCTAGCTGCAGGGTTACTTAGGCTCTCTGTACCTCGGTTTTCTTAGCTGCAAAACCAGAGTAATGAAAACCTTTCTCAGAGTTTTGGAGACTTTGTACCTGTCTGTGTCCTCCACCAACCAGCCCGTCTGTCTCATTGCAAGCCTTTCCATACCAAAGGGAATGGGCACAACCCAAATCATGGGATATATTCAGTAAGCGTGGCCTCTGTTATCTAAAGAATTTAACTAGCCTATAGACCCTGTAGGTAGGATAAACACACACAAAGTTACACTTCAAAGGCCCATTCCTGGAGGAACAAGGAAACTGCTTCCAGATTGGCTTTTCCCTCCACTAGAGGTATAGAGAGGGCACAATTCCCATTGGAAAGCCCCAGCTTTAGCAACTCTGCCCTCCCTGTAGTGTTCCATGGCTCCCATCTTCTCTCCATATATAAGTTACTAAGATTTTAGGGCCTTTCCTGCTGCAGAGACTAAAACCAGATGTGAGGCGTACAGGTGAGGGTGATCTGGGGCCACTTAGAAAGCACTGTATGCAGAGGGTTCCTCATTGCATTTTAAAGAGGGAAGTATGTAATTCCACAGAAAACAAAAGTCTATGCTGACTCATTTTGAAGACTGGAGTTCCCTCCAAGAAGCTAATGGGGAAGAAAGTGGATGTTTTTTTTACTTAGCAAATTCCTCCTGAGTGCCAGGCACTCCGGGGCCACTTCAGACCTGTGATTTGCATTAATCACCCCTCGATCCCCACCAGGTAATTGCTTATCCTTCTTCCTATTTTATAGCCAGGAAACCCTCAGATCTGTTTTGTTCACCTCAGGACTCCAGGAGCAGCATCCAGAGTCTGCAAGCTGGAGATTGAACATTGCCACCCTGGGTGCAGGCATCCCCCACCTGCAGAGCCGTGGAAGGAGCCCAACCTTGGGGAGACCTTTGAGGGGTCCGAGCCCAGGACGGTCAGCAGGAGGTACCTGAGCTCCCTGAAGAACAAGCTGTCCAGTGGGGCCTGGAGGAAATCTTGCCAGCCTGGGACCCACCCTGGGCCAGGGATGCAGGTGCCTGAGGGCTAGAGCAGAAGTGGGGAGCTGGGGGGACCCCTTCACTGACCTCCTCCCGGCAAATTCTCTCCCAGCCAAAGCCAGCACTTCCCCAAGTGGGGGTCTTGTGTCACCAGAGATCAGTTGAAAGCTAGATTCTCCCCTCTTAATGGCCTTAGATTAAATGCCTACAATGCACCCCACTGTTGGCATGATTTCAGTCCCCCTCACTGTGGGAGTCTTTTAGGCAAGGACATTAAAACTCAGCTTTAAGAATTTGTCCAAGGCCACACAATTTAGAATGGTCTCCATTTTGTGAACCTGGCACCCTTCCCAGGTGTGTCCTCAGTTTACCCACCGAAGGAGGCAAATAATCCTCCTTCGAGGGGGTAATTAATCCAAGTCCAGGAATATTAGTGCTAATCCTGCCCTTAGACTGATCCTGGACAGGTCACCTCCCTGGTCAGGGTGTCGGTTTGGTTGTCTGTGGAGTTTAAGGGCTAGGCTGTATGATCCCGGGTACTCTGGAGCCAGACTGCCAGGGATCGTGCCCCAACTCTTCTGCTTCCTAACTGTGTGACCTCGGGCAAAGCACTTTAACATCTTTGTGCCTGTTCCCTCATTTATAAAATGGGGAGGGTGATCATAGTAGTATGTTCTGGTTACCAGTCACTGCATAACAAAGCATTCCAAAATGTGGTGGCTGAATACAGTTTATTATTTCTCACAGTTCTGTGGGTTGACTGGAATGCTCCAGGATGGTTCTTCTATTGGTCTCACTTGGGGCTTGTGGTAGTCAGCTTGGGGCTGCCTGGCAAAATACCACAGACTGGGTGACTTACCGGAACTAGATTTCCTTCCAATTCTGGACTGGAAGTCCAAGATCAAGGTGCTGGCAGGGTCGATTTCTGGTGAAGCCTCTCGTCCTGGCTTATCAATGGCTGTCTTCTAACTGTGTCCTCATGAACATACTCTCCTGGTGTCTGTCCCTCCTCTTCTAAGGACACCAGTCCTATTGGATTAGGACCTCACGCTTATGACTTCATTTAACGGTAATTATCAACTCAAAGGCCCTATCTCCAAATACAGTCATATTGGGGGTTTAGGGCTTCAACCTATGGATTTGGGGAGGGGGGGCACAATTCAGTCCATAATAGGGTCTCTCCCATGACTGCAGTCAGATGGTGGCCAGTGCTGGAGTCCCAAGATATCTCAATTCTCAAGCCTGGTGCCTGGGCAGGGACAGTAGAAGCTGGGTTCAGCTGGGGTGCTGGCACGGCTGGGCCCTTGGCTCTCTGTCTATGAATGAGGTCTTTGGGCCTCTCCTCGCAACGTGGCCTCTCCATCAGGGCAGCCAGACCTCCAGATGTGGTGGTTCATGACTCCCAAGACACCGTAAGCTTCCAAGAAGTTTCCAGGCCTCTTAGGCCTTAGGCCCAGAACTGGCACAGCCTCTCTCCTGCTCCGTTCTTTGTTAAAGTGATCCCAGCACCAGCGCAGATGCACTGTGGGAGGGCATGAGCGCCAGGCGGTGGGCATTCACAGGGACATCTTTGGAGACTCACCCGGGGTCCCCATCAGAGGAGACCAAAGCTGTCTCTCTCCTTCTCCTTCTCCCCCTCGACCCACCTGCAGGAGCCTGAGGAAAAGAAGATCGTCCAGGAGCTCCTGGAGACAGAGAAGGCCTATGTGGCACGCCTCCATCTACTAGACCAGGTCAGTGGTCAGAACACCACCCTATCCTGCCCCGAGCCTCAGCACCCAGGTCTCCTCACCCCACCTCTGTTGTCCCTTCTGTACGCCTCACCGGCGCTGAGAGTTAGGACCTGGGATGTGATCCGAGGAAGCTTCAGTCCTTTACCCCCATTGGCTGGAGTTGGGGCAGAAATCAGGATTTAGGGCATTCATGCCACTTACCATTCCAGCCCTGGTACTTGGGCTGGCCTCGCGTATAGCAGAGCACACATGGCCTTCCCGGCCCCACACAGCATCTTCCTCTCTCACCCCCACGCCCAACATCCTCACCATTATTACCCCTTCACACGTTCTTTTTTTTTTTTTTTT